ACAGATTTGGCCGCAAGAAGACCATATGCTGTGGTCTTTTCTTTTCTGCTGTTGGTTCTTTTGGATCTGTTGTGCTCACTTTATTTGACGATGGGAAAAGTAAAGGTACGGACGCCGTTCAGTAAACACTTCTTTCTGTTGGAATGGAATATTTTCAAATTTAAGATTGCTTACAATCCCCACCTTTTGGTAGTTTAGTCGTCTTATTCCACTGAATGATTATATGGTTGGCGAGGTCACTGAGAAACTGAGCAGAAACTCCCCTCTCCAATTCAATTCTCCGTTTAGTTCATTTTAACAGAAGCATATCATATTTGTGCATGTTCTCAGGCGTACGTTATGATAAAATCTAATTGCAGATCGTTTTCAGACTTATTTTGTCTTAAAACCCTCATGCATTTGACGTTCACCATTTGCAAGGAATCTGAAAAAAATGGGTGAAACGTCATCTCTTCCAGAAAATATTTTCTCATGCATTTTAATTTTTCCATGGAGTCTACATGTGACAGAAACTATCCCCCATGTATTTGGTCCAAAGCCTCGATAGCAACTTGTGACTCAAGACAAAAGACTCCGAATTTCTAAGCGTTGACTAGTTATCATTGTACACTGTTTTATACTCAACAGACCATACTGGTGTCATAAATTAAATTTTCTGTCACACAGCACGTTGCACGATGCTGTTCATGTTAAGCTCATACTTGTCTTGTCTAGTAACGCTAAAAAACTCAACAGAAATGAAAAAAAAATCAGCAACAATAGCAACAAGTACAACCAATTACGGCCGCTAGGATGGCATCTGTTTCAAACATAAATAGTAAAGTTGAATTATAACTGCTGACAGCTATATGTTTGCCTCTTTTCTATCTTAGGAATATTGGCTGGAAAAATCATCTTTTCGTTGTGTATTGCCAAGTTTTTCATCGTCTTTGCTTTTGACGGATTTTACGTCTACTCCGCTGAACTGTTTCCTACGGTTGTCAGGTACTTATGCACCCATATTTTCGGGGAAAGAATGTTCCAGGAGCTAGACATAATGAAGTTAATGACGATTAAAATAATAATGACTATGACGATCACGATGATACTGATGATGATAATGATAAAGATATAAAGTGCTGTATAATTTGAGAAAGTCAGTGCAGTGGATTCTGATCCAACTAAAGCATATTGGTAAATTTATCTGTTTGGAACAGACATAACTTAATACTTTTCAAATAGGTTAACTGCCTTTTTTAAACGTATTACTAGTATCCACTAAAGGCATTATCACTGGTCACTTTTGGTTGTCGTGGTAACATGACAATTTAAAAGAATGATTTTCACCTCTAAACTGAGTCATCACCAACCGTTGGCCGATGGCTGACTTAAACTCCTCGGCCGACAGGTGAACAACAGTTAATGTTCTAAAATGACCAATTTAACTGTCGGTCGAAAGACGACCAACAGATGACCGACAGTCAACCGACGAATGATCGAAAGTTATCCGACATACAATAGGCATTTAAAGGACAGATGGCCGACAATCAACCGGCAGATGTCCGACAGTTAACTGACAGACGGTCGACAGTTAATCGACAGATGTCTGACAGCAAACCAATAACTAGACGACCAATTGTCTTCCTTAGGGATCTGATCTTCACTTTTAGACCGATTTTCCCACTCATCTTTGTTCTTTTCACTCTCAGAAATGTTGGAATGGGAACTTCTACATCTGCTGCCCGCGTGGGATCATTCCTATCGTCTTATATTGTTTATTCGGTAAGTTTAATTGCCCCTTTTGACTTTTAGCTGTCTCTCGGCAACCATTTCTTTTCTCCATCTTAGGCCTCAATGGATCATTTCTTGAATAATCCTCTCCATAGATAAAAAATTCTAGAAAATATCCCGAGAATGCAATTCTAGTGCACATTGACAAAGGCCGGCATGTTAAGAGAAATGCACTTTACATGAAACGAGATATCAACGTAGAACTGAGTTAGCTAATCGAAGTTAGGATTGAGGCTTTAAGGTTGGCCTCAGTACGAGTAATGGTGTGAGGTGCGGTGGCAATCAATGAAAACAGTGAAACAATGATTTTTGTTCTATTATTAAAAGTTGTTGTTATTGTTGTAGCAACGTGTACACAAACTACTACCATTTGGCATTATGGGTTTGAACGCGTTGATAGCTGGGTTACTGTGCATGACGTTGCCGGAGACACGTGATCAACCAACCTTGGAAGTCATGGAAACAACAGATGGAGGACAAAATATGGAGCTGCTTGCTCAGGATGATGAAAAGAAAAAGAAGGCAGACGACAGCCATCTGTAGCAAGAAGAAAACAAACATACAAAACCGAATAATAAACAGCATCTAAAAATGACAAATGTTTAGGCATTTTCATGTGCAGAAGGATAGCCGCTCTACTTCTTGAATCTCTTTATTGGTCAAGAAAGAAAAAAATCGCTTGACAACTTAACAAAGCAAAAAAACCTCTTTTAGCCAAAGCGTGACTCCGTGGAAAATCGTTGTTTACAATTTCTAAAAAAGATATATACCACAACCTTCTACTGCTAACAAAATTATCCTATGTCGTCCTATTAAAGTGCACTCGTAAGAGTTGTGTCAATTCATTCTAAATACATCTTGCCCCTTAATTAATGTAAATTTATAGTTTATGGGAAAAAAACTAGGCAATAAATGGTGACACGCGCTAGCATACACGTGCAATCAGATTTACTATTCCTTCCAGAACAGGGCTTTTTTTCCCCTTCTATTTGGGTGAACATGCAGACAATCCACAATTTGTTTGTTAGTTTCAAATCCCTCTCCTTGGTTAATCATGCTCTTAAAATGCATTTTTATTTATGCATTGTCATCATTAGCAACTTCTCCGTTAACTAAGGCTTCTTTTTCCTCCTCGGTGACATTTTTGTTGTTATCGTTGTTGTCCTCATGTTCGTCCTCGTCCTCGTCCTCTCCAGATGTAGTGCTGTATTTCTTACCGTCAATAGTCTCAAGAGTTGGTTGGTTTGCGGTTTCAGGCAGAGTCAAACACAACAAACCACAAAGCAGGGCGTTGCCTCCCA